TTTCCCTGTCCATTGATGACTTCACTCCATTGTAGAAGGCCACTAGGCTGGGTCAGGCAGCACTTGCCCTTGGTGAAGCTATGCTAGTGGTGTCAACCTCCCTGTCCTCTACGTGCCTCAGCATAGCTTCTAGGATTTTCCTGGGCACAAAAGTGAGGCTGACAGGTAAGTAGTTCCCAGGGTCCTCCTTTCTACCTTTTTAAAACTGGGTGACGTTTCCCTTTTTCCAGTCACCAGGGCCTTCACCTCACTGCCAAGAGATGGGTATTTCAGAATAGTGTAAAAGAGAACTCTGAAAAGTGATCTGAACAAAACACATAAAAGGACTAGGCAATGTCAGGGCTGCAGCTGATAGGTTTGAGCAATCTTGTTTCCAGGTGCTCACAGTACCTTGGTCTCAGGGGCTGAGCACACAAGCATCAGTTAGTTCAGTGTTTGCAAGTGAAACCCACTATGCCTGCAGTGTTTACTCCCCATAACACTATGAATAAAAAAAGTCAGTCAGTCAAAGCAAATTTTACATAGTAGGGTCAAATGTCACTGTACAATGCACCAGCATGTAAACCTCCCCAGTAGGCTACACAAGGCAAAGATTTTGTGTGGCAACATCCCCTACCAAGACCTGAACTGAAACAAGAGAGAAAGGGCAATTCCCATTCTTGAATAGTTTCTGTAAAGCTTGACTGTGAAAGCTGTAAGAGGAGCTGTCTTTAAATGAATCTGTTTAGCACTCTAAAACATTTAATAGCACTCACTGCTTGACCCTCTAGGAAATTATGTACATTTTGAAAGACTGCAGCTAATTCAGGGGCTTCATCCTTATTCTTCACATAGACTGCAAAAAACTGCTGGTAAGAATAAACCGTAAGCATAAAACTCAGATGAAATGAGCTTGTACCTAAACATATGATTATTTATATCATCTTGAACTCAGCAAGAGGATGATCAACCAACTAAATAGTTCCCACAGGACAAGTCCGCAGAACATTTTGTTCTGGTGCTGGTATTAATGATACGCAGAAGTGAGCTTGCAATCATACATGCATCCATAGACTGATGACACAGTAATCCTCACAGCAATAACTTCACTGCAATGAGCAGCTGTTAAACTAAAAATGGCCTAAATTATTCAGTAGGTAGCTTGCTATGTATCCACACAAGATCAAAATTAAACTAAGTTAAATTAAAAAGATTTTGATGAGTCTAACTCGAGAGTAATTATTGACAAAGTGTAAAAAATAGCTTGTCTTTGAAAACTAATCACATGTAATCAGTAACACAATGGCCCATGATAATCTCTCTCACCGTTTAAAAATCAAATTTGACTCACAATTATGATATCTCTTTCAAGCCCGTTAACTCATCAAGAATAGAAATTCCTGGGTTTGTTTATGCATCAAGAATAGTAAGCAAAATTCTGTAACAGAAGCACTAACAAAAATTCCCATATTCCCAAAGCTGTCTCAGCTACATATACAGATGCGTATCTGTGTCTTTCCTTGGTAATATTTGGGAACAACAATTTCTTTTAATGCGACACAGCTACAAAACAGTTTTACATTTAAACAATTAAATCAGTAGTTGAGATGCGGCAAGTTTCTTACGTATTACAGCAAAGCCTATTCTAATTTTGCACATTGCACAGGATCCTGCCTTCTAAAATTAATCACAAAACACTAGATGGAATGCTCA